TAATTTAATTGTTTAATAAATTAAATACCTAAGATCTAAAACTAACTTAGTGATATTCTCACACTTTTCTAAAGTTGAAACTATTATTTTAGCTATTTCTAGATTAACCTAACACTCCCTATTAAATTAAATAATTAAGATTAAGATAAATTTATTGATAATAATTTTAAAAATTTATTCTTTATAAAATATGTTAAATAATACGTTAGAAAAAGAATTAAATTTGTGATTTTCTGGCATTTTTGTAAAGCTTATAAAATTAACATAATTCCCTCTTGTTTTATGTTATTGTAACTAATAAATTATTATTAATAAATTAATTAAAATTAAAATTTATAAAAATAATAATTTAAAAAAATAAATAATAAAATAATTAGAAATTTTAAAAGATAAATTACGAAACACATAGAGTTAAATGAATAACATTCTCATATTTTTTTAAAGATTCTGAAATTTATTTGATTCCTTCTAACTGAAGATTATTTCCTCTAATAAATAAATAAATAATTAAATATGTTTCAGCTTAAAACGCAATATGAATAAAATTGATATTTATTTATTATACAAAGATAAAGTAAATAATCATAAAACATTAAAATATAATAAACTAATGAATCAATAAATTACCCAAGATATAGCTCTAATTAATTAATATTCTTACAACATTCTAGAGACTATACAACTTCTTTAGCTCCTTGATCTTCGATATTATTTTTCCTTATAGCATAAAAATAATAATTAATAATTTAATGAAAAATTTGGATTAAAAAATACTCATAGATTTTATTTCTATAAAAATTAAAATTAAAAAAATACTAAATAATTAGAATTTCAAAATTTCAAAAAATTTAATAATTTTTAAAATAATTAGTTTTATAAATTTGAAAAAAATAAAAATAAATTTAAGACTATCAAATAAATTATAAAATATTATTAATTGCAACATAAAATTTGAAAATAAATTACTAAAATTGTAGAGCTAAATTAGTGATTTTCTGATTATTTATAAGAGAATGTGCAACTAGATTTGCTCCTTAATAGCCGATATTATTATCACTACAAAAAAACAACAAATTAATTAATTAATTTAAATTTTTTTTATATTAAAAATATTTTATAAATTATAATACTATTAAAAGAATAAATTTTACTAAAGATCTAAATCTAAATGAATAAGATTTTAAGATTTTTCTAATAGTTATGCTAGATATTTTGCTGCTTCTTCATTTAAATTATTTGAGCTAACAAAGAAATAAATTTAATTAGTTAAATAAATAAATAGAGAAAAATGTAAAATATAAAAAGTATTAATTTATATTTAATATAAAATATAAATACTAAAGACGAAGAGTTAACTGAGTAAGATTCTAACAGTTTTATAATGACTATGCAATCAATTTAACTGCTTCTAAATTTAATCTATTTTAGCTAAATAGTTATAAAGTATAAAATAATATAAATTTTGAATTACAAAACAAATTTAATTTAAATTAGGAAATATTAAATAAAAATATAAAAAATAGATAAAATTAAAGAAAATTAAAAAATAAAATAATTAATTAATTAATTACCCTAATAATAGCTTTAAACTATTCATTTGATGAAATTTTTGTAAAGACGCAGCAATATATTTAACACCTTCTAATTTGAAATTATTCTCTCTAATTAATTAATAAATAAATAAAATTAAAATAGATTTGATAAAAAAAATTATTAATAGAGTTAATCAAAAATAATAATAATAATTAAATACCTTAAATCTAAATATAGACTTGAGATATTCTAACACTTTTCTAAAGCACATGCTATTTATTCAAGTTATTCATCTTTAATGTTTTTCTTGCTAATAAATAAATAAGAGTTAGGCTTAGTTTATAACCAAATAATAAAAATTGAAAAATATTTATTTATCTTTAAAAATGAGAAATTTAGGAGTAATCATTTTATAAAAAACAAGAATAAGAAATAATTGACTTTCATTTATATATTTTTATTTTATAAAAAACATTTATTAATTTATTGTATGAAAATATAATTTCATTTAGATAAATTAAATTTAAATAATTTTTTTTCTATGAAAATTAATGAATATAATTTTGTTGTTATTCATAAAATTTCATGAACAGTAATTTAAAATAATAAAATTTTTAAATATTTCATGAAAAAAAAAACTTGTTTCAGAGCACAGCACTGGTAATAGCACATCTCTATTTTTAGTTTATTTTTTAAAATTATAATAAACATCTAATGAAATGAACATTTAATATGGATATTATTTGAATCATTAATTATCGTTAATTAAAATTAGAAAAAAATATTAACATACATTTTTGATTAAGGTTAAAATTTAATATAAACTCCACTCCCTCTAAATTTTTAAAATATTTTTTATGTATATTTATTTATAGTAAGTAACACTCTCCAAAATTCCAAATAACAAATATTTTTAGGGTAAGAAAGTTTTTTAATATTTGAGATGGTAATTTTTATATCTAATTTATTTTATTTTAAAATCATAATTTACTAAATTATTTTTCATTATACATTTTTTTCATTTTTTAATAATATTTTTTATAAATTTAATTTTCCATAAATAAATTTGAAATAAAATTAATTAAATTACCATAAATTAATTTCTATATTTTAGAAATTTTAAATATTGTGAAGATCTTTGAGTGAGTATATTTTAATTATTTTGTTTTAGTCTATTTAATTTCCTTAGATCGTGAGTTTTGTGAAACCTATAAAATATTCTTATTTTCTTAAGCTATTGAAAAATCGTTAATTTAATTGATAAGCTGAATAATTTATTCTTTTATTTAATTTTGAGATACCAAATCCACTTTATAACCTTAAAATGTTTTAAGAGAATTAAGCATTTATTCCTAATAAACTTTTTGTTTTTCAATGTTTTCTTTTACAATTAGAGAAAATGCTTGATTTTAATTATGAAAATCTTTGTATTAATTGAGTATGATATCTTTAAGTTTTGCTTTTTAGCAAATTCTATTGTATAAATCCAATGGATATTCAAAGCTTTAGTATCTCTTTTCAATATTCACTAATGAATCTTTTTCTTTCTTGTCAATCAATAAATTAATTTCATCCCTTAAAAGTTTATAGAAAATTTGAACATCTTGAATTCTTTACTTTATTAGTTCCTCTTTTTAAGGTATTAGCATAAGCTAATCATAGATCTCAGAGTCATCTAATATTGGCCATCCTTTAAATAAGGTTGATTAGTTACTATCAAGTATTTATTTCAGAGGAAGAAATTTAATTGTTTGCCCTGAAAGACAATATAAGCACTAAAGCATTTTTTGGTTAGAATAGTTATCTATTTTCAGCATATCCAATCTTTGATTATGTAAATTGCATTTTTAGTTATAATTTTTCATGATGAATAATTCATTTTAATTATAATCTAAAATTTAGTTATTTTAAATTTGGTCCATTTTATTTTTACTTAATAGCTGCTTTATATTTTTTTCTTCAAAGTTATTTCCTTTTTAAATTAATAAGAAAAAAATAAAAGTCTTTTATTTTGTTTTAAATTAAATTTTGAATAACAACAAACTATCAGAATTTATTTAAATAATATAGAAAGATAATTAAAATAGAAAAAATAAAAATGTTTAAAACTAATAAATTCTTAATTTATAAAATAGGAATATTACAAAAACTAAATTTCTGATTTTTCAGATATTTTAGGACTATTCTTAAAGCTATTAAAAAATGTGTTAGATTGATAATGAAAAAATATGCAATTATATAAAAAAACACTATTCATCATATTAATAAAATGTAAATAGTACTTATATCAAAGCTGAAATAAGAATTTTATAATATAAGATTTTCATTTATATATAAATATAGTTTATATTCCAGCAAATTCTCATCATTTTGAGATATGTAATAAGTATTTTATTTTTTAGAAATTATTATTCTATCATTAATATTTTATTTCTACGATCTTAAATACTTTTTTTTTGATTCTTATTTTTTCTAAAAATAGCAAACTTTTTATTATTAAAACAATTATTTTAAGTTTTTCTTTTATTCTTAAAACAATAGAAGTATTTTTTCATTTCGAAAATATAGACTAATCTTCATATTTATATAAAAACTCTTAAATAATTATAAAATTACTTGAGAATCAGCACTTTTACATTTTTATAGTTTATTAATTCCCTTAAAATTAATAGTTTATTATCAAGTCTAAAATTTAAAATTACTTTAATATATTGAAAGAAAAAGTTAATATTAATTGAATTTAAGTTCCAAAGATAATAATCTTGGCAATCATGAAATACGTTAGGCAAATTTTAAGTATCCTTCATTACTTATATCTTAGTTGCTTTAATTAATTTTATAATATTTATCTTAAAATTTTATCTTTAAATATGATTATTAATTATTTAATTTAAATTTACTAAAAATAATTTCTAATAAAAGTAAAATTTTAAATTTTATATTTTGAAAAGTTTGAATATATTTTATTTTAAGTAGAACAAGGTAAGGTGATCAACTTAATTTTTAGAATTTTAATATCATAATTAAATAAAGTTAAAAAAAAAAATTTATTTAAATTTCATAAATATTTAACTACTTATCTACCCACTTTCTATATTATAAGTCTCTCTCTCATAGATTATATTTAGAAACATATTTAATTTAGAAAGGTGAATAATATTATATTTTCTTACTTTTCTGTATAAATAGGGGTTTTTATTCATTAATTTGATAAAAGGAGCTAATATTTAAGATTGGTTTATTCAAAGGGAATAGATTCATTAGTAAGTATTAATTAATAAAAGCTATTTAATCTTTCATTTTACTATATTTAGCGAAAATATTTCAAGTTTAAAAAAATAATATATAATTTAAGAATCCTTTTAATATAAAAAATCATAGAGCATTTTTTATTAAAAACTTCTATTTAAAAAATAAATATAACTCATTTGGATGAAATATAAATATAACATTTAAATTAATTTATCAAATTTCTTAAAATATTTTGAAAAAAGTGAATAAATATAAATCAAATCTATTTGGTTTCTATATAATTAATTATTTAAGTTTAAATATTTTTAAAATGTTCTCTTAAATTTAAATTACAAAATATAACTTATATATTAATCCGTAACATACATTTTATTTAACGTTTGTAACATGAAATCTAAAGTAATATCAAACTTTTACAGTAATTTGTTTTGCATTCTTCAAAGTATTTTTCAGCTAATCTTAGAATACTTTCTATTTTCCTTATGATAAATTATTTTTCCTAATAATAAATAAATATTCATTAATTGTTAGAAAAGAAAATTAAATGAAAATATAAATAACAAGAGTTAAATTATTTTATTAATTAAATTAAAATTTATTTAATAAATAATTATGTTAATTGATTAATAAATTAAATACGTAAGATCTAGATTTAAATTAATGATTTTCTAACATTTTTCTAAAGCTGAAACTATTCTTTGAGCTACATCTAGATTAAAATTACAAAGTCTATTAAATTAAATAGTTAAAATTATGAAGAGTTTATTAAGAATATAATAAAAATAATTTTAATATTATTTCAGTTAAATAAAAAAATTATTCTTTATAAAATATATTAAATTTTAAGTGAAATAAAGAGTTAAATTTTTTGATTTTCACACACTTTTACAAAGCTAATACAATTAGCATACTTTCCTCTTGCTTTATGTTATTTCCACTAATAAATATTCTAATAAATATTAATTAATAAATTAACTAAAATTAAAGTTTATAAAAATAATAATTTAAAAAAATAAATAATAAAATATTTAGAGAGTGTAAAAAATAAATTATGAAAGCTATAGAGTTAAATCAGTAATATTCTGATATATTTTTAAAGATTTTGAAATTTATCTGATTCTTTCTAACTGAAGATTATTTCCTCTAATAAATAAATAAAGAAATAAATAAATAAAGAAATAAATAAATATTTTTCAGCTTAAAATGAAATATGAATAAAATTGATATTTTTTTATTATACAAAGATAAAGTAAATAATTATAAAATACAAAAATATTAATTAATTAATCAATATATTACCCAAGACATAGCTTTAATTAATTGATATTCTAACAACATTCTAAAGACTGTACAACTGCTAAAGCCCCTTGATCTTTTGATCTTGGATGTTAGTTTTCCTAATAGTATAAAAATAATATATAATAATTGAATTAATTACTCTTTTTCTCATTTATTAATTTCTTTTATATAAAAATATTAATGAAAAGCAAGCTTGGATGTACATAAAAAAATGTTAATTGATTTTATTTCTATTAAAAATTAAAAATGTAAAAAATACTAAATAATTTAAATTTTAAAATTATTTTTATATAGATCAAAAAAAAAAAGAATGTATTATATCTTTATTAATTAATTTATATATTTGCTTTAAAAATAAAAACAATTAGCTCAAAATAGAGTTAAGTAAGTAAATTCAATTGTATTGATTGATGTTTTCTTAATCGAAATGTAAATAATCTATTTTTTGTTTAAGAATAAATTAGATTAAAAATTAGTAAGATAGTTATTATTAGATTGTTAATCAAATAGTCAACCAAGTAATATTTAATAACAGTAACTTAAATAATTATTAAAATATAAATAAATAAATACCTATAATAATTTAAGTCACAACTATGAATACAAAATTATATTTTTCATTAAAATTTTAGAAATTTTATTAATTTAATTATTGTTTGATTATGTTTTTAGTCATTTAATATATTTTTTTTACAATATAAGATGATAATTATAAAAGAAAAACAAGTTTTTAATAATTTAATTAGTTAAATTTTTAATTAAAAATTAAAAAAATTTATCAAACAAACATATTTTATGAAAAATTTGATAATTTTCTTTTATCATTTTTTATTACTAACTTATAAAATATTATTTTAAAATTGTTTCAGATATCATAAATTAATTTAACTAATCTATTGATTTTAAGTGCTTTTGATATGTGTAAATTGTCTCTCTTTTTGATTTTAATCTATTTCAAGAAAAATAAAATAATTATGATTTATCAAGTTATTAGAATACTATTTTTTTAATTATATTTTGTATTAAAAATTAATTATTTTAAAAGTCAAGCTTCTTTTTTTATTTTTGATTTTGTTTGTTTTTAAACTTTATTTTATGCAATTCAAACAAAATCTTCTTTCTTTATGAATAAGTTCAAGGTATTTATTAATTTTTATGAGGCATTAATATTAAAAA